GAGGGTCCGTCGTTTTGGCCTGCTGCCCGCAGCTCGAGTTATCGGGCGGTCCAGCAACTCAGCGGCCGGGAGAAAGCCCGGTAAGTCCGGGCCCGGGCCGCCCCCCGCAGGTGGTATTCCGAAGAGACCCACTCTAACCCGCGAGGCGCCCTTGCGGATTCGTCGTACCTAACGTGTCTCTCACACGTGCTCCGCCAGATAGGTAGTTCGCCCCTATGCCCTCTCACGGAGGGTTCTTGGCAGTCCGCCATCGCTCGCCGCGGGCATCGGTCGGTGTAAGAATGGGCGGATATTCTGCCGACCCGGGGACACGAGGGGATGCTGCCCTGTCCGCCCGGCTACCGCCCTGGGTGGCGGGTCCAGCTGGCGGACGTCGGAGTTAGCCCCGCGCAGAAAGGGCCACGCCGGCCCCCGGCGTGGTCGTCCGCCACGGATTTCCGCCCGCAACCACGAGGAGGTTCCGACTTTACGAGCTCCTCTTATACCTGTACAGCTTTTACTATTAAATTATTTGAGCTATGTAGTTAATTCTTGTGCATGATGTAGATTATTACTGCTTTTTGCTTATTACCCTTTTTGCTGTTATTACTATGTATGCCCTGATGATGAACGCCAGACGTTTGGAAAGCTTCGGCTCCCACCTCTGCATGTGCTAAATTATGTAAGTAAAAAATTATGAGCATCAAGGTTCTTGTTTTAATCCTTATTTTATTAATACCTACCTGATTAGGAACTCGCCATTCCGGCTGCAGCCTGCAGCTGACAACAGATCACATTTTTATTTATTTATTTATTTTATACAGGGTGTTCGAAAAGTCCCCTCCCCCCCTCTAACTTTTGACCTAATTGAGGTAGAGATTCGAAACATGGAGGGTATTCCTGGATCAAAGGGAGCTACTTTTTGACCCCCCCCCAAATTTTGGGGGGCCTCCCTTCGGGGCTTTACGGACCCTAACTTTTTTTTCCAAATGGGAAGACCCTTTTTGTGATACCTCGTTCGAAAGAGCATAAAAAAAGAAAATTTTTCGCGCAAACCCGAAGTCATTATCTCAAACCGTTTCAAAATGGCGGCCGGTCAAAGTTCAAAATGACCGAAAATTGGCACCTCTGCTATTTGCACATATTTTAGCTTGAAACTCGGTATCTGGGGGTATTTTGGCACGAGAAAAACGAATTTAACGTTAGATTTTTAAAAAGAACCGTGTTGTTTCAAAATGGCCGCCGGTTTAGGCTCAAAGTGGCCGAAACTTTGACAAACTCGATTTTTGCCGATGGATTCGCCTGAAATTCAGTATTTGGGAGTATTTTGACCCGAGAAGAACGAATTTGACGTTATATTTTTAAACGAACCCTAATTTATCAAAATGGCTGCCGATTAAAGTTCAAAATGGTCAACATGTGGTTGTCGTAATGGTTTGTACCGTACCCAAATACCCCCAAACACCGAGTTTCAGGCGAATCCATCGGCAAAAAGTCGAGGTTGCCAATTGTTGACCCTTTTGAACTTTAATCGGCGGCCATTTTGATAAATTAGGGTTTGTTTAAAAATATAACGTCAAATTCGTTCTTCTCGGGTCAAAATACTCCAAAATACTGAATTTCAGGTGAATCCATCGGCAAAAAATCGAGTTTGTCAAATTTTCGGCCACTTTGAGCCTAAACCGGCGGCCATTTTGAAACAACACGGTTCTTTTTAAAAATCTAACGTTAAATTCGTTTTCCTCGTGCCAAAATACCACCAGATACCGAGTTTCAAGCTAAAATATGTGCAAATAGCAGAGGTGCCAATTTTCGGTCATTTTGAACGTTGACCGGCCGCCATTTTGAAACGGTTTGAGATAATGACTTCGGGTTTGCGCGAAAAATTTTCTTTTTTTATGCTCTTTCGAACGAGGTATCACAAAAAGGGTCTTCCCATTTGGAAAAAAAAAGTTAGGGTCCGTAACCCCCCCCCCCTAAGGGGGGGGGTCAAAAAGGAGCTCCCTTTGATCCAGGAACACCCTACAAGTTTCAAATCTCCACTTCAGTTCGGTCAAAAGTTAGAGGGGGGAGGGGACTTTTCGAACACCCTGTAATTTGTACAATTGAGCCTCTGGCCGGGGCTATATGGCACACGTCATATTCGGTACATGTCGAACAGATATATACAGCGATATACATAAGGTACAAGTGTTAAATTTTACAAGCCTACAAGTTCCTGAAGGTTATAGAAGGCTTTTTCGGATAATAAGAAAGCACGCAGCCCCACAAAGAACGACGTTAGGTCAGCATTTCGAAAGTGTAGCTTCGCACTCCAAGGCAGTGCGTTGCACATCTGTATTACCGAAAATTTGACATCTTGCTCAGTCCGTCTCAATCGAATCATTTTATTACTGAGGTTCTTGTGCCTACTGTTGTAATGATGATTGGGCAGGAGGTCAGAAAGCAAAATAAGAGCACTGGAGATGACAAACAGGCAATCCAAGATGTAAAGGGAAATTAGGGTAAACAATTTATATTTAACAAAGATCGGGCGGCAGTGTGAGTTATGAGGAAGATTGAATATGGTTCTGATAATTTTTTTCTGCATGACGAACACTTGATCAACACTAGAGCCTTGCCCCCACAGAAGAAGCCCATATCGCATATGAGACACTATGTGAGCGTGATAAAAAGCCATACAGCAGCTCAAGGTGGAAATTCTGGAAAGGTTGCGAATGACCCAAGAGACCCTTGATAGTTTTGACACAACCGAGTCGGTCTGTCGTTGCCACGTTAGACCTGCATCGATATAAATGCCAAGAAATTCTATGGAACTTTCCAATTTTACACTGAAATTATCATTTAACATACACGTGGATTCTGGCAATGAAGAGGTAGTTCTAGGGGATACAGAATAAAGAATTGCCTGAGTTTTCTTTTAATTGACAAAGGGGCCGCATTTGCCTCAAACCACATACAGGCCTGTTCATAGACTTTACGAGGTTTTAGCTTAACATCGCCATCTGTAATTACAGCGGAAGTATCATCGGCATATCATAAAGTGGGATGAGTAACATTGGAAGGGAGGTCATTCATGTATATAATAAACAATAGTGGACCGAGTATTGAGCCCTGCGGTACGCCAGTAATTATGTGTAGGAAATCAGATAAGATGGTTCCTGCAGCAGAGTTGATTTTCACTCTTTGCTTACGACCAGTAAGATATGAGGCAATGAGGGCTAGTGAATTTGAGGACATGCAGCCCATAAAGTTGAAGCTTGTCGAGTGACAAGGAATGGTTTAAAAGGTCAAAGGCTATTAGTTAGGTCAAAGTGTAGACTCATAATCGGAATTTGCAATTCGAAAGCATTAATCACATTATTAATTAGATTATAGAGAGCTTGTGTGATAGATAGACCTTTCCTGAAACCGTACTGTTTATATGATATAGTAGGTCATTTGATTTAGAGTACCTGTATAGGGAGAGTAGCGACAGATCTGAAACTCCGAAAGTCCATCAGGCCTTCACCGATGCCTCCGCGAGTAAAGTTAGGGCCCAAAAGGGCAGTCAACCTATGAATTTCGAATGTCCAGAGCGATTCACAAATACAATTGTTACGAACCGTCGTTTAGAAAGAATGTATTTGGTTTACTTTTTGCATAAATTTACTTATTTTTGCGAAAGAACGCTTATTTATGTACATTCTTAGCCATCTTGGTTAGAATTGAAATTCGTAGACTGGCAGTGAAATTTTGTGTGTTAGAAGTTGCTAAGAAGGGTGGCTGCACTTTTGGGCCCTAAGCCCTCCATGAACCGATCTGTCGCTTCTCTCCCTATACAGGTACTCTAATTTGATTCGAAATGACAAAGGAGTTGCTTGAATAAGATTCTCTCTAGGATTTTGCTTACTGTGGACAGGATGGAAATGGGACGATAGTTTGAAATATCAATTTTAGAATTATTTTTGTAAAGAATTACCGTTGCTTGTTTTAGAGAGTCAGGAAAAATTCCTTATGAGAGATGCATTCATTTAGCAATAAGATGTTTTCGCTTTTAAATAGCCGTATCAAAGTCAGAGTTCGTGGGCTTATATTTATATACTGTTCATTTGATTTATTTTTTCGTTTCACTTGCAGCAGAATTCTGTGGTATCAAACAAAAATGTCATGCAAAAGATACTGCGCAGTTCAATAAATTTTGCGTGCATTCAGACGATTGTTGTGAAAAAAATTGCGTGCAAACCTCTTTTATTGCGTGTGCTTTATTATTCCCCTAATACCCCGCCCCCTTTTCTCGCGGACTCTCTTTTCACTTTCCTTGCCTCCTTGTTCCTTCCATTTCCTCCCTTCCTCCTTACCTTCACTGCTCAACCTTTTTTCATTTACCTTTTTTTCCTTTACCTTTTTCCCTTCTCCTTTTTTCCGCTTGCCCTCCTTTCCTTCCCCCCTTTTTCCCCTCTCTTCTCCTCTCGTGACGCCCCCCAAAGGCTGGCGACCGAATGCGCCGCACGCCCTGCACACTCTCTTTGTCCGAGCCTGGCCTGAGGATCTGCAGACTACCGTGAGAGCGCAGGGGATCCCCTGTTTACTCTCCTGGGTGCACAGGGGGTCCCCTTGTCCATTCCCAGGAGAGCAGAGGGGGTCCCCTTGACCATTTCCAGGGGAGCATATTTGATCTCGCGTCATTCCCATGAAAGCACATCTGATCTCGTGTCATTCCCCTGGGAGCACATGAGATCCCGGGTCCATTCCCAGGAGAAATTTTTAATAGTGCCGTGTTCCACCCAAGCGAGTTTTTTTAGCATTTATATAAGCATTTGCATTCGAAATTATTCAAACATGACATTTCCTTGATTTTCCCAAATTTTGCTAAATCATCAAAAATAATGTGTATTAATAGCTACTTCCTAAATAATTAGAAGATATAAAAACACTGTTTATGTTTACGGCCAATCTGAGGTACACCTCTTTATTACTACTGCAATTAATATATAAGGAATCAATAAATTTGCTCAGAGGTAAATGAGGAAGATGCTTACCGAATCGATGTCAATTCTGCTCTCTCTTCTGTAACGTGCGTTAGCTCCGGTATCAGAGAAAGATGAGATATTTGAACTAAAGCCCAAGAAATTTGGAAAATTGTGATGCACGCTGCATAATAAATAAACTGGACCCATAAAGTTGCAAATCGTGGGTTGAAAATTAGAGGAAAACTAAGGCAAACCATAGAACTACCTGCTCTGCAACATAGCAAAACAGTGTCAAGAGATAAAATGGTACGAAGGTGAATGGAAACATTAAAAAAAAAAAAATCTATAGTACATACAGCGTGTTCGAAAAGTCCCCTCCCCCCTTTAACTTTTGCTTGTTGCTTATTACCCTTTTTGCTGTTATTACTATGTATGCCCTGATGATGAACGCCAGACGTTTGGAAAGCTTCGGCTCCCACCTCTGCATGTGCTAAATTATGTAAGTAAAAAATTATGAGCATCAAGGTTCTTGTTTTAATCCTTATTTTATTAATACCTACCTAATTAGGAACACGTCATTCCGGCTGCAGCCTGCAGCTGACAACAGATCACAGGTTTATTTATTTATTTATTTTATACAGGGTGTTCGAAAAGTCCCCTCCCCCCCCCTCTAACTTTTGACCTAATTGAGGTAGAGATTCGAAACTTGGAGGGTGTTCCTGGATCAAAGGGAGCTACTTTTTGACCCCCCCCCCCAAATTTTGGGGGGCCTCCCTTCGGGGCTTTACGGACCCTAACTTTTTTTTCCAAATGGGAAGACCCTTTTTGTGATACCTCGTTCGAAAGAGCATAAAAAAAGAAAATTTTTCGCGCAAACCCGAAGTCATTATCTCAAACCGTTTCAAAATGGCGGCCGGTCAACGTTCAAAATGACCGAAAATTGGCACCTCTGCTATTTGCACATATTTTAGCTTGAAACTCGGTATCTGGTGGTATTTTGGCACGAGAAAAACGAATTTAACGTTAGATTTTTAAAAAGAACCGTGTTGTTTCAAAATGGCCGCCGGTTTAGGCTCAAAGTGGCCGAAAATTTGACAAACTCGATTTTTTGCCGATGGATTCACCTGAAATTCAGTATTTTGGAGTATTTTGACCCGAGAAGAACGAATTTGACGTTATATTTTTAAACAAACCCTAATTTATCAAAATGGCCGCCGATTAAAGTTCAAAAGGGTCAACAATTGGCAACCTCGACTTTTTGCCGATGGATTCGCCTGAAACTCGGTGTTTGGGGGTATTTGGGTACGGTACAAACCATTACGACAACCACACGTTGACCATTTTGAACTTTAATCAGCAGCCATTTTGATAAATTAGGGTTTGTTTAAAAATGTAACGTCAAATTCGTTCTTCTCGTGTCAAAATACTCCCAAATACTGAATTTCAGGTGATTCCATCGGCAAAAAATCGAGTTTGTCAAAGTTTCGGCCACTTTGAGCTTAAACCGGCGGCCATTTTGAAAAATTAGGGTTTTTTTAAAATCTAACGTTAAATTCGTTTTTCTCGTGCCAAAATACCCCCAGATACCGAGTTTCAAGCTAAAATATGCGCAAATAGCAGAGGTGCCAATTTCCGGTCATTTTGAACTTTGACCGGCCGCCATTTTGAAACGGTTTGAGATAATGACTTCGGCTTTGCGCGAAAAATTTTCTTTTTTTATGCTCTTTCGAACAAGGTATCACAAAAAGGGTCTTCCCATTTGGAAAAAAAAAGTTAGGGTCCGTAAAGCCCCGAAGGGAGGCCCCCCAAAATTTGGGGGGGGGTCAAAAAGTAGCTCCCTTTGATCCAGGAACACCCTCCAAGTTTCGAATCTCTACCTCAATTAGGTCAAAAGTTAGAGGGGGGGGAGGGGACTTTTCGAACACCCTGTATAAAATCATAGTTATCAACTTTGCCTTACACAAATCTGTTGCGTCTCATCATTGTGCCTTAGAAAATATTCAGTAAGCATAAAGATTGCAGAATTTAAACAATTAACAATATATTAAAGTCATTATACAAAACGTTCATATTCGGGCACAGTACCCGCTGCTATATCTCAACTTTTAAATTTTATAATAAAGTATACTTTATTTACTTACCAAATAAATGCCACGCCCTCCGACTTCCTTTCCTGTCTATTATAGTACCAACTACAGGTGTGGCCATGGCATCCACCGTCTGACCTGTTTTGAATCATAATTAATTATTGTTTTATTTACAGGAATGTACAGCGTTATTAGCTGAAAACCCAATTTTTTATAGGTATTTTAAATAACGTCTTGACATGTCTATAAAAAGGAAACGTTAATTGTTTGATTCTTGTTATCAAGCTGCCAAGATAAGCAATGATCTTCCAGTGCACCATCAATATCGCAAAGCGAATAAACTTAAGTAGGGTGTTATTAGAAGTTTACTAGGGTTATATATAAGAGGAAACACTGTTTTAAGACAATGTGTGATTCCAAATTTAGTGGGCCAGGGCTGCCATTAGGGTGTAGGTATGAGACTACATCCCAGTTGACTAACAATATTTTTTAAATGTTTCCAGCAAAAATATTATATTTTAACATTTCAATGTATTAACAAAAGATTTTAAAATATTACCAAAATATTTTAAAAAATAATTTTGAAACGCTTTAAAATTTATTTTATAAATATTTTTGCGGATATCGACGGCAATTGTCTCTAAATGAGCCCGTTTTATTCAGATTTTGAAAATATGACCTGAGTTTTTTTTTATATTACTGGTAAAGTTGCAAATTTTCCCATTTAAGTAATGTAAATTTTTATGTTTTGTCATAGTTCGTTTAATCGTTTTACGTAGCTAATTTCCAAAATTTTTGCGGTTATCGACAGGTGATAGTCGCTAGGTGAGCCCACTGTAATTAGATTTTGGAATTGTGACCCAAAATTTTTTATAATTTTCAAATTCCTGCCATTTTTCATCCGCGAGAATTTCTAATTTTCCGGAAAATTAAACTAAGCGAGTAATTAAATCAGTAGGTTTGAAAACACACCAACTCGGGTTTTCTTCGATTTTCACTTTTTTACGCTTTAGTAACACGTATGGATATAAGCATCTGCACGCAAAAGGACATTTTGAAATTGCAATCGGAAGTGCTCGAAACAGCGACGGGAAAAAGGAAGAATCGAAGTACTTCATTGGAAATACCAATTTTTGACCATCTCAAGGGAAACGGGTGACCATCCGATTTTGCTATTTTCTTTTTTCGGTTCAGTAGGTATACCTTGTACCAAGAAACTATATAAATATTCAAGCGTTATTCAGGTCGAAAAATATAAATTTTTCAGGACAGACTATGAAAAATCAGTACTTATCTGAAAGTCGGTGAGAACGAAAACACACCAACTTGGAAATTTTTAAAAGCTTAATTCTCTGTCATCAAACTCGGTGTATCGATTTCAACTTGTTGCTTTACGAAGTCTCTAAGGACTCGTCCTTTGGCACCAAAAAGGTTTTTCTTAAACTAACTTCTTCGCCCGCTCCGCAGTTTTAGGTGTTTCCTGAACAATTTTTTTTGCCCGAGTTGGTGTGTTTTCGAACTCACTGATTCAATTGTAAATCTTGGTCTGTTAGTAGGACAAGGTAAGTGAATCGAAGGTATGCTCCTTTACTACAGACTACCTATCCAAAAGTAAAAAAAACTCTGTATTTATTTTTTTGGTCCTCAGAATTTCCGAGGTCTTACAAAGTAGCGGTTTAAAAGACTCATTTTTCACGAAAATAAGTCGAAAGAGGATATAAATGAACTGTAAGCAAGTGCTGAGGATGCAAATGTCATGAGAACTTCCTGAGTTTCAAAAAAGTTCCAACTATTTTGCACAATCCTCTAAAAAATGTACTGCTCGAAAAGCAGGATCGTACTATTATCGTAAGGGAGAAATGCGGTTAGTAGGGTAAAAATGGCGACTTTAGCGCAGTAAAATGTCCCACAGCGTTGCACGATGGTGCAGAAAAATACGAACTAAATTACTGTGTTGTAAGGTGCTTATTGTTCAATATGGCAACGCTGTAAAAAAAAGATTGCATGTTGCCCCTTCAATATGCGGGTTATGCAATGGTGTAATGTAGCCCCTTCAATACGCAGGTTATGCAATGGTGTATTCTTCAAGATGGCGGTTATTCAACAGCGTTGCCGGACGGTGCACTTAAATAAATGATTTAATTATTGGTGAAATTTTGCAACATCGATTTTTACAGTGTTGCCGGATGGTGCAAGAAATTAGTAAATTCTTCGATACAATGTTGCCAGATTGTGCAAAAAATCAGATTTTTGGACTTTTAAAAATTTTTGGTTTCGAAAGACCGTATTTTACAGTATGGGCCTGGTATCGGATACTGGATTGTAGGGTCTGATTCGAGAAATTGAAAAATTTTCGAAAAATTACCCTCGTCCGATCCGCCGCGGACGGATGCGATTCTTTTCCATTATCGAAGATCGCAAAACTGTACGGACCAAATTTTGATGCGACTTTTTGTTTTCGAGATTTCGGACTTGTAAAATTTTCGGCTTCGAAAGACCGTACCGTACAGTTAATGGGCCTGGTATCGGAGACTGGAGATTAGGGTCTGATTCGGGAAATTAAAAAATTTTCTAAGTCCCGCGCTGGAAAATATTTTTCGGAAAATTACCCTCCTCCGACCCACCTCGGACCGATGCGATTATTTTACACTATCGAAGATCTGCAAACTGTACAGACCGAATTTTGATACGAGTTTTAGTTTTCGAGAAAATACAACTTTTACCTAAGTCACATGCGTATCTTATGTGCATATACGAGTTTTTATGCTTGCTTGAATACATGGGATTCTTGACTTTACTAATGACAGGTTGTATGTCTGATGGTAAAAACACATCTATGAGACATACCTGTCTTATGTGTATACGTGATTTTGTTCCTTACATTGTTTTCAGATTGTGCAAAATATTCGGATTTTCGGACTTGTAAAATTTTCGGGATCAATAGACCATATCCTCCAGTATGGGCCTGGTATCCGAGACTTGAGAGTATAGCGTCTGATTCGGGAAATTGAAAAATTTTCGGAAAATTACCCTCCTCCGATCCGTAGCGGACCGATGCGATTCTTTTCCATTATTGAAGATTGGAAAACTGTACGGACCGAATTTTGATACGACTTTTTGTTTTCGAGATTTCGGACTTGTAAACTTTTGACGGCATCCACGATATACCATATCTTACAGTGTGGGTCTGGTATCGGAGACTGGAGATTAGGGTCTGATTCGGGAAATTAAATAATTTTCGGAAAATTACCCTCCTCCGATCCGCAGCGGACCGATGCGATTCTTTTACACTATCGAAGATTGGAAAACTGTACAGACCGAATTTTGATACGACTTTTAATTTTCAAGAAAATCCAACTTTTTTTTTTCCTAAGTCGCATGGACCATATCCTCCAGGATAGGACTGGTATCAGTGACTGCAGAGTAGCGTCTGATCCGGGAATTTCAATTGTTAGTGGTGTGCGCTTGGAAATGTGGATCCGAACCTTGTGTTTTGGAACTAGCAACTGGGATTGCATATTGCAATTTCAGTTTGATGAATCGAAAACTTGTAAAATTTTCGGGATCAATAGACCATAGTCTCCAGGATGGGGCTGGTATCGGTGACTGGAGAGGAGGGTCTGATTCGGGATATTAAAAAATTTTCAAAGTCCTACGCTGGAAAATATTTTCAGAAAATTACCCTCCTCCAATCCACCCCAGCCCGATACGATTCTTTTACACTATCGAAGATCGGAGAACTCTTCAGACCGAATTTTGATACGACTTTTCGTTTTCGTGAAAATCCAACTTTTACCTAAGTCGCATGCGTATCCTATATGTATGTACGAGTTTTTATGCTTGTTTGAATAAATAGATTCTTGACTTTTACTATTAACCGGTTGTATATCTGATATTATAAACACGTCTATGACACAAACCTATCTTATGTGTATACGCGGTTTTCTTCGTGGCCTTCGTAAATTACGGTCCTCGCTCCGTCCAGAGTTCAAAATTCATCGTGAACTAGCTGTCTGTTCGTGGATCGCACAACGATGTGAAGTCTAGTTTTAGTTTCTACAGATCAAGGGAATCAGAAAAACGTAAAATTTAATTGCGGATAGCCCGGGGTCATAGAAAATGCTCCTTTGAAATGATGATGTTTTATTTATTTATTTATTTCATAATTTGTACAATTGAGCCTCTAGCTGAGGCTATGGCACACGTCATATTCGGTACATGGTGAACAGTTACAGCGATATACATAAGGTACAAGTGTTAAATTTTACTAGCCTACAAGTTCGTGAAGATTATAGAGGGCTTTTTCGAAAAGGAAAGCACGCAGCCCCTTAAAGAACGACGTTAGGTCAGCATTTCGAAAGTGTAGCTTCACACTCCAAGGCAGTGCGTTGAACATCTGGATTGCCGAAAATTCGACATCCTGCTCAGTCCGTCTCAATCGAATCATTTTTTTTTACATAGAAAAAAAAACGAATTAAATTACAATGCTGTATGGCGGGTATTGTACAATAAGGCAACGTTGCAAAAATTGTTCAACGAAATGGCAGGGTAATATTACTCCTTCAATATGCGGGTTATACAATTCTGATAATACGAGGTATTGGATGTAGCCCCTTCAATCTGCGGGTTATGCAATGGTTTATTTTACCCTTCAACTTGTAGGTTATGCAACATAATTGCTACTGATTGAATTACCGGTGATACTTGACAATATGATATTTCTTTGTGTAACGAGAGTTGATGATTTCGATTATTTACCACAACTTTATATGAGAATGTTGTTGGTTGATGATTTTGATACTTTACCATAGATTTAGATAGAAAATCAATAAATAATCGATGGTTTTAGCTCGATATCTCGAAAACGGTGCGTCTTTGACGAATTTTGACGGCACCAAATGCACCGAAGGCTTATTTGGCATCCGCTAATCCTCAATAGAGTCCCTTTATACCCAGAGTTACGACAACTCGATTATCGGCTGACTGGCAGCCGGCCTTGGCTGGCCATGGAAGCCGAAACGAGTGCACCCAAACGAACGATATTGAGGGATAATGATCAGGAATCCTGCGATGTCTGTCACACAAAAACAACAACATCAACAAAGTGATCAATTAAAAAGAAAATGAGATTGGTTTGC